GGGGGGGGGGGGGGGGGGGGTTCGGGCCCAGGACAAAAGCCTAGTTCACTCTGGCTGCGGTGGGAGAACAGCAAGAGGCTGGAAGTGGGCAGGGCCTGGTCAGTGGAGGGCTCTGTGGGCCATGCAAAAGAATTAAGGACTCTGGATTTTATTCTGTAAGTTAATGGGTTTTTGTTGCTGTTGCTTAAAACCACCTGAGCCTTTTTATCAAATAGTTCAGCACGTGGAAGCTCTTCTGTTATCTTGCTATATCATAGCTTACTCAAATCTTTTTCTCTTATTGGGCAAAAAATAAAATTTTCAAATACAGAGTTTTATATTTCTGTTTCCTTTTGAAACCCCATCGAGTAGAAGCTGGACAGCAGCTGTGAGTGCTGCATTAAACACTTACAGTGATTTCAGTAAATATGACTCCCATTTTTATGTGACCTCTTCACCAGAAAAAAGAAGGAAAACCTGAGGTTTTAAAAATGTTGACCTCAAAATAAGGAAGATAGGTATAGGAGGATAAATTATTAACAAAATGTAAAATTCTTGAAAAGAAACCACATTGTTTTCTTGAATGCTTTTTAAAAAAATTGTTATAAGAGACTAAACAAGGGGACAGTAAATGTGTAGTGAATAATAACCTAAAACATTTGAGCCTTTTAAAATGTCAGAATTTTCTCATCTGTCCTTTCAGATGTAAAGAGAAGACCTACCCCGCTGTCCTGCCTGTTGCTAGTGTTGTTATTTGTTTCTACAATGAAGCCTTTTCTGCCTTGCTCCGGACAGTGCACAGTGTCCTGGACCGCACACCAGCACATCTGCTGCACGAAATCATTCTCGTGGATGACGATAGTGACTTTGGTTAGTAATATTGGACCTAGGCTGTCGTTCACTACAGCACTGACAAACATCAGCAAAGGTGACCGTTCAAACACATCGTGGACGACTCCTGTGCATGCAGTTGCAGCTGAACTGTGGATAAGTGCCTGCCCATTGTTTATAAGATGATTTTGAAGAAATGCATTACCTTTGTGATCTGTTTACAAACTGCTACATACATTTGGCTTTTAAAATTTTTTCCTTGGCTTACTTTAGAAAAAAAAAAAATCTTTTTATTTTGAAATAACTATGGATTCCCGGGAAGTTACAAAGTTCTGGGCACCCTTCACCCAGTTTCCACACTGGTTACATCTTCCATAATTGTAGTATAGTGTTGAAACCAGGAATTCCACACTGGCATGATGCGTGTGTACAGTCTTATGTCATTTCATCCCACGTGTAGACTCCTGTAGCCACCACTGCAGCCGAGATGCAGACGACTGTATCACTCCAGAGGTCTCAACCTTCGTGCTGCCTCTTTATCTGTCACACCCCTCCCTCGCCCCCCACAGCTCCTAACCCCTGGCAATGACTGATTTCTGTGATTCTGTCTTCATCTCTGTGATTCTGTCATTTCAAGAATGTTATATAAGTGGAATCCTACACTGTGTACACTTTTGAGATTGGCTCTTTCCACTCAGCATAATGCCTTGGTATACGTTTATCTAATAAGTCTGTTAACACCAGTTGTCCCCAGATGAAAGTGACTGCATTCTGAGAGCTCTTAGATGATCTCTGAATGCTGATATTTTATGATTCACTTCATTCTTTATACAGCTTTCTTTAATTCAACATGGACTGTTGCTGTGAATGGCTTTATGTGCACAGGCAGGGTGGAAGGTTTTTTTATTACACTACTCATTCAATTCTCAGCGACCTTGCAAGAAAGGTTGGAACCCCATTTTATAAAAGAAGAAATATAAAATAATTTGCTCAAGATCCTATAGCTGTTAAGTAGCAGAGTTGAAGTACCCTGGTCTGCATGGCTCTGAGCCCTCTGCTCTTTTCATTACAGCACCCTGCAGAAGTGCAGTGATGAGGTGTATGCCAGTGACATTTTTCACACACTCAGGCATTTATTATACACCTTTTACATCAACAACAGAATTGGTATACCAGTTATATTTATACATACAAAATGTGTACACTGAGACTGACGGGAGCAGAATTCTCAAACCTTGGTAAATGTTGAAACTTCACAGGAAAAATTTGGAAAGTTTAATAGAAAACAAAATTTACTTTCAAAAATAAGTGATTAAGAGAAACAAACAAGTAAATCTGAATCTGGACCAAGTAAAAGATTGGCTAAATACTAAGTTCTAGAATTTGTGGTTGATTTTTTTTTAATACACCTGTATTTTGGCTTTCACTTATGGCTATTTTATCTAAAAGGAAAAATCCATGATAATTTATAGTGGCTTGAATACTAACTCTAAAAGGAATTACTGTTTACTATTTTATATGATTTTTGAAGTTATTATGAAATTTAAGGGCAAATGACCTAGAATTCATAAAGAAGTATTTATTGCCTTCAAAGAATGGTGCTAAATTAATAAAAGGACACATTTACTGCTTCTATTGTATAATTCTTCTGGTAGGGGCAGTTAAAGTTCCTTAGCTATTCTGAAATGGAGTTAGACAGTAAATTACTTTGAAACAAAGGACATTACTGTCATTTTCTTTGCTTTAAATGTGATGTATATGCAGTCAGCTGAACATTCATGCACTCAAGGTATTGATTTCAGACATTCTTTATGCAAAGCAATGTGCTAGGTTCTTGGAAATACAAATAAGTCTGCAGTAAGGTAACTGCTCTTGCTGGCTAGTACAGGTTGAGTACTCCTTACCCAAAATACTTGGGACCAGGAGCGTTTTGGGTTGCAGATATTTTCCAGATTTTTGAATATTTGCATTATACTTACAATTGAGCATCCCTAATCTAGAAATCAAATGTGACTTTTGAGCATCATGTTAGTGCTCAGGAAGTTTTGGATTTTGGAGCATTTCGGATTTCAGATTTTTGGATTAGGGAAGCTCAACCTGTGTTCCAGCTCTTACCTTTCATTCCTCTCCTTTTTTCCCTACAGGATAAGCTACAATATTCTTTTAAAATAAAGCAGAAGGTTCTGTAATATTTGCTTGATAATTCGTTGTTGTGGACTTTAGCAAGTACCAGATACAACTTTAGAATAGATATAAAATGTTTCTGTATATGTCTTGTATGTTTGAGTAATTGTGGGACTCTTTATTTTCAGATGATTTGAGAGGAGAACTAGATGAATATATCCAAAAATACCTCCCCAGAAAAGTTAAAGTAATAAGAAATACAAAGCGTGAGGGGTTGATTCGAGGAAGAATGATTGGAGCAGCACATGCCACAGGTATAACTTCCCCTGGGCTCTTCTCTGTGGGTGTCAGATGACAAGGGCTCCATCCTCCGAGCCTTGCGTGATTCTGCACAGGTCTGTAAAAAGTGGTGTTTTCAATGGGCATTGCCAGCAGGAGCAATGAGGCTTGTTCAGTTTGGGAAAAGCCTTTTCCTAACTCCAACCCTAGTGCTCCAAAGCATGTAATACACGAAGTTGAACTCTAGAATCCTCTCTGGTCTATTTTCATAGAGACCCTGCTTGTCAATTCTTGCCTCTCAAATAGGTTTTATGTCTTTTTCACTTATCTAAGCAGAAACGTCCAAAGTGTAGCTCAACTTTTATTAGTTTTTAATAGAAAATTTCAAATATATGTACCCAAACTGTTTGACTTGGATTAAGCTAATAATTGTTATCGTGAAGCTCTGGAGATATGCAATATGATTTTAGTTGGTAAATGGACATAAGATTGACCTGTATAACTATGAAAGGTATTTTCTTTACAATTCCTTGTTAATTCTTCTGATTCCATTGAGGAGAAAGCCTCCATTGTTATTAATATATCTTTAAAACCTTTCCATCATACACTACTCCCCCTCTTTAAAAAGAAAGAACAAGTATCAAATTCAGAGTCTTCTGCAGAAAATATACACGGCTAGTCTTCAGATAAGCCTGTGCTGCATTCTCATACTCTGCGCTTTTCTAGGTAACCAGCCCAGGGTGCGGGGGTTGGTGCTGCTCACCGTCCCACCCTCCGTGCAGCCACCGTCTGTCCTGTTTGGTTGCGTTAGCTGGGACTTCACTTTCAGAATCGTTCTTCTTTTCTTTCTCTTAAACCCGCAGTGATCAAAAGCAATTAACAAAAAATGGGAAGTAGTTCCTCCACCTCTAGTTACAGTCTTGTGCAAGTGGAATTCAAGATTTATGATATTTTCTAGATTTCTACTCACATAGACTTACTGAATCGGCTGTATTGAGGTACAGAAGGCAAAGAGATAAAGAGAAAATTGGGGATATTTTCAAGATAATGCCATTTGAAACATTGTACTGTTACACTGCATATATACTGCGGGTTTATGTTTTTTAGATTACAGTAGTTATTTAGATTTTTTTTTTCTTTATGATTTGTTCAGGTCCCTGTTCAAATATGTGAGGGTATTTTTAGAAGTTCATGGAAAGATTCATATTATCTTTTCTCTTTTTCCATGAACTTTTTGTGGTATCCTTTTAGTTTAGGATCTGTCCGAAGCAAGCTGATTTGGGGGAAGTCATGTTGTAGTTCAACGTGACCAGGTGTAATCTTACTTCATTTAGTTAAATTGGCATTAATTGGAAAAAGTAACACTTTTAGAATTAAGAAAAGATATGAATACATTTTCTTCTAGAAGAAACCTTGATTAAATTGATTTCACTTCACAGTGAGTGGTGTGCCTGCTGAACATTTTGCCTTTCTGCATTAAATGACAGCTGGAGAGCTGTGTGCTATTTCATATCCTCATTAAGGTTGTTTACAAACATAGAACTACATGACTCGTTCACTGTCATTGTTGAAAACTTTCTTTCCTGAGCTATTTATTTTATCACTAATTGAAATTGATACATCTGTTGCTTTAAGCAATTCATGTAAAATTTAAATCAACACATTTTGTGGATATACATTTAGAAAAATAATATTGCTATCTGATGATGAGATTCTAAGTTTCTTAGCTGCTCAGAATAACCGTGAAATTATCAAAGAAACTTGAAATTGTCAAAAAAATCCCCATTCCTGCTCATAGTTATCAAGAAGAGTTAAAAATGCAGGATAAAATTTTTATGATTTTTATTTTGCTAACTAGAAGAAAGATGTGTCCCTTTGGCTGATGAGAGCCACTAAAGCCAAGAGGGCTGGGAGAACTAGAAGAGAAAGGTGGGAAATGGAGGAAAGAAGAATGACTGGGAGGCAGTGCAGGGGTGGGTGCAGGGGAGAGTCACTTCTGAGAGAACTGCTGTACTGTAGCAGTGATGGTTAATCACAGTGATGTTTCTGAGTCACTGCACTCTTCATTGCAAGCAGGGAAATGCTCTGAATGTACACTAAACTGAGGAATGTTTCGATACAATAATTATAATACAAATATCTACACACACTGGCCACTGTTACTGTACCAAACCATCTTGAATCACTCAGTGTCTGGACATCCAAAGAGCTAAATTGTCACTGGGAGACTTTGAATCTCTTTACTGAAGAGAATCTATCTGAATTGCCCATAAATTTTTCCAAGACATTATTGTGTCTTGAAATATATATGTATATAATTTGTATATGCTTCTCAGCAGAATTCTTGGCTGCAGGACTTCCTTGTTTCCAGTTGGCAATGAAGTGACAGTTTCTTGTTTGGGGCTGGAAGGGTGGCAGTTATATTTCATGCTGAGCACATGTGCCATCCTACTGGACTGGTGGCTGTCCCTGGATGGAGCATTAAGGACCTCTCCTGAGCTTCTGTTGCTGGCCTCCTTAGGAGACGTCCTCGTGTTCCTGGACAGCCACTGTGAGGTGAACGTGATGTGGTTGCAGCCCTTGCTGGCCATTATCCGCGGGGACCGGCAGGCTGTGGTGTGCCCAGTGATCGACATCATCAGTGCTGACACACTCGCCTACAGCTCGTCCCCTGTCGTCCGGGGAGGGTTCAACTGGGGGCTGCACTTCAAGTGGGACCTTGTTCCCCTCTCGGAGCTAGGAGGAGCAGAAGGAGCCACTGCACCGATAAAGTAAGATTTCTCCTTTATGTTTGAAAAACTCCCACCTTCCTTAAAAGAGGAAAAATATGTTAAAGATAACTCCTTCTACTTTGTAAGGAGCAAAAGTGTTGACTTAATTTGTCCATTAAAAATTCTCGAATGCTTGCTGAATTTTATGCACTCTGTCAAGTCCTAAGAAAGATTTATGAGTAAGAAATTGTCGTGCTCTCAAGAATCCAGAGCTTTATGAGAAAGGCAGACAAATAAACTCAGCAGTACCCGGGGACAACTGCGGCATAGCACACTGGGGGTGCCCTGTGTGCTGGTTTCCTGTCACGTACCACGGTGTGCTGCCTTGAACGTTAACTTACCTCCATTATCTTCAGCTCTTTGCTAGTGTCATTAATGCTTTGAAGAACATGTAATACATAAAGCTTTTCTATGATTAGAATCATGAGGATGGTTTCCTACTAGTACAATTACTAGGGCATGGTATGTGAAGTTATTTTAAGTTCTCATCCATGTTCTATTTTCTCTAATATTATAAACCTGCTCTTATATGTTATTTCTCCTTTCTTATTTTTGTTTTCCTTAAAATTTCTTACATAGATTTCAGAGAGGTTTGTCTGTAGTTTTACCTTTTAAAGTTCTTGGACATACTCTTTTTTACAAAACTTTTTTGTCGTGAAAAAAAAAAACACATATAAAAAGAGTATACAGAAGGTGAAATAATAAGCTCTGGAGCCGCTGGGAGGAGAGGTTTTTACCTTTTAAAGTTCTTGGACATACTCTTTTTTAAAAAACTTTTTTGTCGTGAAAAAAAAAACCACATATAAAAAGAGTATACAGAAGGTGAAATAATAAGCTCTGGAGCCGCTGGGAGGAGAGGGCACTGTAGGAGGGAGAGGGACAGGCCCCATGCTGGTCGTATGGTGAGTGAGGACATAAACAGAGGCCACCCAGTAGAAATCCATGAGCACTTGTCAGCCTTTGAGAATCCCCTGGTGCCATGGATGAGGCTGAAGACCATGGGGTCAGTTTCTAGAAATGAGTTGTTGCAGACCTTGGGCTCTCTTCAACAAGCCAAGGTGGATTTAGTTTCTGTGTACACATGAAATTGAAGGAACATCCATCCAGTAAAGCAGAATTGGAAAGGATCAGAGTGTATGTGAACGGAGTCAGAGAAATAACAGACAAGGAAAAGGTTGGCAAGCGCGACAGAGGTGCAGCTTCAAGACTGGCAAAAAATGCCCACTGGGAACTAAAACCTAAAGGTGCATTGAAAGTTGTCAATAAAGGAAACAGTAAAAGTTAGCTTTTGGTTTTGGTATACACATATTCAAAAAGTGTATCATTTTTATTGTTTTTCATAAGATGATTAGTGGCAATGCAAGGTTTAAATATTTCTTACTTTGAATATACACATGCTTTGAATATATACACTTTTAATATTGAATTCATATGTACTTTGAACATTGAATTCATAAATATTTTCCCCCAGAAGGATTGTTATCTTTATTGATTTTCTGTACAACACTGACGTTTTAAACATTGTGATATATTTTATATTTATAGTTTACTGTATTTTTTTTTTCCTTTTTGTCTTTTTTACTGACTGGTAACGGGATTGCAACCCTCGGTGTTGCGCCCGTACTGGGGACCGGCAACGGGATCGCAACCCTCGGTGTTGCGCCCGCACCGCACTCAGCCAGTGAGCGGGAACCGGTCTCCACGTGGGATCCGAACCCTCAGCGGGAGCGCCGCCACACTCCCAAGCGGCGCACTCTCCAGTGCGCCACCAGGCCGGCCCAAGTTTACTGTATTTTTGATGAGACTCTTATTTCCTTATGTAGGCCAGTCTTGCAAATACCATTTTATAAACAAATGGTGAAATGTTTAAAATTAACATTTTAAGTTAGATGTTCTTTGTAAACTGTTTAAATGAATAACGGTCTTGTCCAGTATGCTGTTTGTAGACTTAAGTTATAAGTACATGTTTCCACTATATGATATTAAGAACGAAATTACGTAAATGTTTATTTTTTTTCTGTATAGTTACTTCATGTTTTCATGATTTTAGGAATTATTAAGTGTGAAATTAAACCTTTAAGGTACTTTTCTAAAAAAAAAAGTATACACATAAAAAGTATAAAGTCTATATGACATATACACACACACTTTAATAAATGGTTATAATGTGAACGCCTGTGTAACTACCACCCAGGTGAAGAAACAGCACCTAGAAGCCCCCGTCTATCCCCTCCTCGGCACAGCCCCTGACACCCAGAGGTGACCGTGGTAATCATTTCCTTGCTTTCCTGTATAGTTTTTCCTCCTGTATGTGCGTCTCTGAACAGCAGAGCTCGGGTTTGTGTGCTCTGGTGCTTTACATACATGGAGCCTTGTGACTGGTGATTTTGTCTCACTTCCTTTGCTCAACATTGTTTCAGAAATTCTTGCATGTTGCAGTGTGTAGCTGTAGTGGGTTCATTTTCATGGCTATATAATATTCTATAATATGACTGTACTATAATTCATTCAGTTTACTGTTTGTTGGTGGGTCAACTGGTTTTTCTTTTTTTTTTTAACGTTATAAGCAGCATTGTTAGAGAACATTCTTTTTCATGACTTCCAATTTAGGAGTAAAATGGCTAGCTATGCCTTTTTTCAACCTTAGTAAACAGTGTTTAATTGTTTTCCCAACAAATCAGGTGACTAAAATGTCCTCAGCTAGCCTTTTGGTACTTGTTGGCTTCCTTTTATCTGAACCACACCTGGAGGGAAGTTGATAGAGTCCTT